GGCACATCTTATGAAATGTAATGAAAAACGTCATACTCTGCACATACAAACTGCTAATGTCAATTTACTAGCGAAAGCCGGTACAACTTCTGCCGAACACAACTTCCCCGGATGTTGTCTGCGGCTCAGAGGCACACAAATTACTTCTCAACTTCACTGTGTCAGCCGGGCGGTGCGACTGGCTCTGAAGATGAGTTAGGCGTGCAAAATTTCTCAGAGAGAAGTTCGCGCCCGGGCTAGCCGCTAGTGAAGTTCACCTAATACGATCCCATCAACGGCGCCCAGCTACATGACATAACAAAGACGTGCCGTGGGGGCGTGGGGACGTCACTGGGACGTGCCGTGGGGGCGTGGGGACGTCACTGGGACGTGCCGTTGGGACGTAGGACGTCACTGGGACGTACCGTGGGGACGTGGGGACGTAACAAGGGACGTACCGTGGGGACGTGGGGACGTCACTGGGACGTGCCGTGGGACGTCACAGAGCCTTGATGTGAGGAGAGGCACGTTACGGCGACCCCGAAAACCGACTCTCGGGATCGGATCAGCTCCATGTCAGCGGAGTAGGAGGTCGGTTTCGGCAAAACGATGCCCCCGGGCTTTCCTGCGCCCCTTTGGCGAGCACTTCTCGTCAGAACTGCTCGCCGCTCTCAGCGATCAATTGCCAAAACCCATCGAGATGAACGTTTCATTCCAGGCAATGACCTATGCTATCACAAAATTATGGCTCGATCAGGAGAGGTGAACTTCACAGAACGGTTTTGTTCTTTTTGTAATGTGGAATGAACTAAGCTTAGGAAAGAAGTATAGCCTGTTGGTATATTTCATTTGAATTAACGTACGACACTAGCAGAACTGAAGAAAAGAAATTCGCAACTTTGTGAATAAAAGGTTAAGCATTTCACATTTATAAACGGTTCAGAAAAGCGTCTGAACTTTTATCTGACTTTCAATGTAATGCCAAACTTCCAGACGTCCCAAAGCATATGTTAAATACTTCCAAGCAATATCTCCCAAAATGTGTAACAATGTTAAAATAAACGGTGCAAAGTTGTAACAGCACGGAAGGAGGATTTACGTGTTGAGTGCAATACCTTCTCATGCATAATGCACCAACGACGTGTTCAGTACGCTGAACTGTCCTAAGCGCCCGCTGTGGCGTATATGGTCGTCCGTCCGATCTATAACTATTGGCCAGAACAACATAGCTTAGGAGGGGCAGCTGTTAGAGACGAGACGTTGAATTTCATTATCATTATCATAATCACATCTCTAAAGTACTAATTTAACAGCCTGTTAGCGCCTGGACATACCTATGCGGTGTCGATAATAATTAATAGAACCACACTCTCACAAACCCCTGAAAGGCAGACATTTGCCGAATTTCAGATCCAGTAATGTCATGATGATTTGATTTGTTGTTCGCTCGTAAATCAGCCCACCAATCACGATGATATAAATCACATGTTCAATACAAGCCAGGAATGGGCTACAGCTGAGCCCCTGTTCACGATTGATGTTGATGTGGGAAATTTCGACAAGCATACAACCAAATTAGACCCTGGCTATTTGCTGTCCCGCTATTCATGCATACAATGACTATTTTGGACTTCTTTTCACTTATTTATAAAATTGAAAGTTTTTTGTGGTTGAAATACTGTAAAGTAAGACTGCAATTTTCAGCGAAATATTAACCATGTTATTTGTTAAATAGTTTAGCTGCCCCTATATCCTTTTGTGGCCATGTCTTCCCTAAATGTCTTGGCTGTCACTTTCACTATTCATTGCCCTTCCCCTTCACCAGCATACAGTCCCTGTCACCCCCCCCCAACCCTGGCTGTCACCGCTGTCACTCCTATAAGCCGACCATCACCCGCGGTCATCCCTGACTATCATGCCACTGTCCCTGACTGGTCCTCCCAATGTCCCTTACTGTCACCCGCCGCCCCAACTGTCATTCTTACTGCCCTGACTGAACTCCTGCCGTTTCTAACCGCCACTTCCCACCTGCCCCCAGCTTTTGCTGAGGAACACCCACCAGCACCTGACGGGCACCCGCCCACCGTTTCTAACCACCCCTAATCTCCTGCCCCAGCTGCTGCTAAGGAACACCCACCAGCACCTGTCGGGCATCTACGCGGCGCTCGGAGACGACGAGAACGCTCGACTGCAGGAGCGCCTGGCCTCAGTACTTACAGAGGAGATGGAGCTGTACTGTGCCGTGTGTAACCAGCCGCTTGGGCAGGAGCCGGGAAACAGTCTGGAGGCGCTGCCCTGTTCACATATCTTCCACCAACAGTGAGTGGGGACGAGGTGGATTCGCTGGTCGATCCATTCACGTATCGTTCACATGCCAGTAGGGTCAGGTAGACACTCTTCTCGCAAGGGTCTAGCGATGCTTCATTTCGATGTCAACTTCGAATATGTTGGACTTCAAAGTCAAACTTACATTGATGCCTTTCAGTATTTTATGATACCAGAGGATAACGATATTCGATCATCTATTTTCCTTTTTATCATCATGTCATCGTCAACTGTCGTCATCTTTACCTGTTCCTCTCTTTTGACACTTCTCAAATATCAGCGCTGGATAAACTTCGGACCTGAATAAATCGAGAAAATATGTAAATGTTTCACGGACGTATTGTTTGCTACCATAGTCGCCGAGTTTCTCATGCAAATTCGCTTTCTCCAGAGTGAATAATCGAGTCGCTTTTCTCTTTCACAGATGCGCTCGCGAGCTGCTCTCCAAGAGCGACCGGCGCAAGAAGAAGCGCATCTGTCCGCAGTGCCGGAAAACGGTCAACTCGCGGATGATGTTCGTGTGCTACGACGACGTCAAGTATGACGGCCACTACCCGGCCTTCCTGGCCAATAACACGACGCACGTGCAGACGCCCGACCACCCGTTGTGATATGGGCCGCCGAGCTCTGAGGTCGCGCCGGCGGGTCCGCGCGCGCCGCCGGCAGGCGCGCCGGCCGACGCGACGGCGCCGACGCCGCTGCCGGCGACGGCCCGCTGCCTGATGGCGCGCGCTGTCACCGCCGAGGCGCTCGTGCAGGCGATGACGATGCTCTGGATACAGCGGCGTGACGCGTGACGCGGGTGACACAGTGTGACGCGCGCGACCGGCCTCGGCCGGCGCGGCGCTCAGGGACTCGGCACGGGACGGTGCGTCTGGCGGCGGACAGTGGGGTGGTTTGTTGGGCTGTTGGCGGGTCGGTGGAGCCGCTCCCGGCGGCAGCGGGGGCTGGATGTTGACTGGTTGTTGTGAGCGGGTCGTGGAGCGCTGAGTGGCGGCGGAGGCGGCGGTGTCGCGGCCGCGGAGACAGCCGGTCTCTCCTGTTACACAGGGTAGAACCCGGCTTGTGTCTGTGACCTGGGCCGGACTCATCCTACCGAGGGTGACTCGCCGCAGGCACTGACCGCCGCTCAACCGAGCGTTCGGAAAGATGGGCGATTGGAAATGGAAATCATGAGCGTCGTTTGTAGGCAGAACGGCCCGGTGCTGCCTATTGTTGGTCTGTGCCAAAGGCTCTAATCTGAGAGCCTTGCAAAGGCATTTAATTGATGTCTTGACTACATCAGTTGGAAAATGTGGAAAGCAGCCTCATTGTGAGGCAGCTCGGTCACGACTATCACAGTACACCTTGGCAGAATCGACGAATCGCATCTACCGAATATCACCAGTAAGAAAGGAGCAATACTTCCAATACCACGGCGCGTTTGGTGATGGCAGTTGGTTGCCTTTGTGCTTGATGAGCCCGAGGGGCATTGACTTGTTTCTGTGCATTTGTTACGGCAGCGCAGAGTGCGCTCACGGGTTTGCGGCGCGCACGGTGCGTCGGGTTCGTCTCTGCGCTCCGATTACCTGCTCAGAGCGCCCGGCCCCACATCTGTTGTTTGACGATCTTGCGTTTGGACTATTTTGCATAGGTGCTTTCTCGAAGGACTATGAAAACAAGTGTGCCAAGCGCGTGCACGCGCGTGCGTACGTGAGCGTACGCGTGCGTGCGCGGACCGCGCGCCTTTGGGTGGTCGGGACCGGCGGCAAAGGCGGCGCCCGGTCGGCGCTCTGCGCCCCAGTGCGCCGGCCGCTGCTGCGCGGACCGCGCGTTCGCCAGACTGCCAACATGGTTGCTCATTCCCTTGCTAACTTTAAGCCTCATAGGTGTAGCTGTTGCTGTTGATGGTGGCGATATAGCTGACGAGAACTGGTGCCGAGAACCCTGACTAAATTCACCCTCCACCGGCCGACCCACAAAGTAGGATTAACTTTTGTACATGGTGTTTGATATCTCTAGTAGCGGCTTCAGTTGATTCCAGGTGACCGCATTCGCCCCGTTACCCGGCCCCAGGACTGTTGTGACGCGGCGCCGGTGCCCCCAGCCCTGCTCTGCCCCATTGAGAGATTGTTTGCCGGCTGCGTTGGTGTGAAGTGTGACGGGTGATGAGGTGAAGTGAAGTCTGCGGTTTGTGTGAATCCGAGGGCGTTATCCGGGATTCGGCGATGGATTGGTGTGAAGCATGATAATGAGGGATATTTGGAGCTGTGTGAACATGGGAAACGTTTGATTTGCGAGTGGCTCGTGGTATGTGACATATGCTCTTCTTGCCTGTAATTTTTTATCGATATTATTGAAGTCCCACTGTCTTACCAACACTTAGCTTCGAATAAATAAGTTAAACTAAGAGACCGGGCCTTTGGTTGATACAATGGCGACTGATACGTAAGCGAGTATTTGTGAGATATTTGTAGAACCGACACGATTAACTTTCCTCCGATCAGCACCTTGCAGAAGGTATTGCATGAAATAGTGCATCTGTAAAGTACAATGATTCACAATTGAATTCGTCCTTAACTTGAAAAATGAGGTATCCAGACTAAAAAAATTAATTGCTGTTCGGAGAACAAATACTTATTCGACACTGGTAACTTCTCTACATTAAACTCTTCTCAATCTATTGGTCATTTTATTGAAGAATGGAATAAGACGGTATTGACATTAAGTATCAGCGTTAACTTTTCAATCAAACTTGTAGAATGCTATTAGTAGTGGATTACGCGTGCTACACTTATCGCTTAATGACTAATTAAATAGAGTAAAGTTTTAATGGGGTAATTTAGATCCACTCTCCTTCTAAATGTCTTCTCGCTTAAAGTCGTTTGGGGATTGATCATTAGAAGAGACAACCATGATCCATTCATCATCACCAAAGGACAGCACACTTAAAACTTGATACGAATGTTTATTAGCTTTAAAACTTGATACGAATGTCTATTAGCTATAAAATGCCAACACTGCCGGTGAACATTTTGCAGTGGCTTTGGGAAAGTCAGAAAAAGGTATCCTTACAGTGTCCCATCTTTATCAAAACGCAATGAACAAAGGAAAACGGAATGACCCTAGCTTAATTGAAGCCAACACCATTCAAAGAGTTGCGTGACATTTAACGTCAAAGGAGCATAGCCGTCCTATTTCTTGATCATTAAAGTCATAGAGCTAAAGGTACGAGTCAAAGTCAAAGAGTCATAGGTAGGTAGGTACAGAACATAGGTACGCCATAGGCAAAATATTTTTTTGCACAACTTTTCATAGGACTGACATGAGACGAGCACAACGAGGATTATCTCAATATTTCTAGCATTTTGCCTTTTGGCTCTGATTGAGTTTCAGCCATCCCCGAACCGAGCGTAAGAATGGCTCGATACGAGAAGCGTCGATAACTAGTTTTTAATGAGTGACCTTAGAAATTTAGTTAAGGTAATAAGGTGCTGACACTATTGGTTTTCACTGATAATTTTTATCCATAAATCATCGCGATTATTGATATTGTGCTCATTTCTTCCGGCCGCATCGGTTGACATCTTTTTATATGCTCAAGGTAATGCACATTTAGGTATCGAGGGGCCCAAAGCATAAGCAAATTCTGAAACATGGTTTGAACCGGGACGCTCGCCACTTTCACTGCCGGTCGATGGCTAGCAAATAACAAACACCAACGAACGATTTCGCAAAGCAACCCGCATTACCAAACGGCCCGAGCTCCCATAGATCTTATTCACATTACTATTCAGTATTCACACTGAGTATCGAGGCCGGGAATATGGTGTTCGAGGCCGCCATCGCATACAAACTTTTAGTACCAGAGTAGATACTCGCAAACCCTTATCTCCACTCAAGGACTGCGACGTGTCACGGTAACACTTCTACAGTACTGGCACAGGCTAGTGGAGGCTTATCTGGCACATGCCTACTTTTATAGTATAGTACGAAAATGCTGAATGTGGCAGCTGGTAATGTCATTGCAAGAGGTATCAAGTTATTTTGACATCAAATCTTCAGTCCTTAGGGCTCTAACGATGAGCAAAAAGTAGATATATTAGTGATCCAACCCTTCTTCAGTTTATATAACATTATTGAAATATTAACATGCGTATTCATATTTGTTATTACGCTTACGAGCAGTCATTCCCAATGTGAATTCAGAAGTGATAAGTCAAAAGCGATGCAAAAGAATTACCATTTATTTTCAACCAATGAGGATTACGTGAAACATTGTCTCGTGCTTAAGGCCAAGGTCATTCATTCCTTCATACTTTTTTAGCAAAGCCAAAACAAATTTAAGCATACAAAACATGAAGTTCGAAATGGATATTTATAGTCATTGGCCATTGTCAAGCTGCTAAGCATTTTTACCGCAATCAAGTAGAGAACTAAGTCGCATTCTTTGTTTAACGTAAAAGGCAAAGTAATTTTGAACGTGAAAAGCATTGACGCGCCAATACCTAGACACAAAATGAAAATCGTCTTAGTGCGTCATACGAGTTACCTGGACTAAATTTTAAAATGTTTAAGCTCGAAGGTCGAATGAATATATTCTGTCTGATATTGGCATATCGACCGCAATATGCTATCAACAGTCATTAATCGTCACGTCTTCAAACTTCAATCTAACAGGATGATGCTGATGACGGTAAGTGTGACGCTCTCAACCCGCGCCGCATTTAGGAGTCTCGCATCCCGCATAGCCACCTTTCTGACCTTTCCCATCTACATGATTCTGTGGCTGGCATGCAATGGTATAACGTAAAAATACTGCCCTTGGTATGTCCACTCAGTCCAGTGCCCCGTTCCGTTCACAGTGTGTATTCCGTGCCTGGTATGTTCCGTGCCCTGTAGATTCCGTGCCTGGTATGTCCTGTGCCCTGTAGACTCCGTGCCTAGTATGCCCCGTGCCCTGTAGATTCCGTGCCTGGTATGTCCCGTGCCCTGTTACAGGTAGACTCTGTCCCTGCTGTGGCTCTGGCCGGTGACCGGCGCTGGGGCCGCCGCCGGGGGTCAGGGTGCCGGACTCGGCCCCAGTCAGCTCAACGACGACATGCTCGTACCGTCCGGCTGGCCGCCGTGGTCCGGTGGCCGGCGTCAGCACAAACTGCTGCGCCGGCCGCACCAGCCCGACGAGCCGGCGCTGCCGGATGCCCTGTGGCCGCCGGGCAGCAGCGGCTGGCCAGAGGTGCCCTTCTACCTATCAGAGGGGGCCGGGGCGGACGTCCGCGAGGCCTGGGAGCACGGCCGGCAGCATTGGGAGGCCAACACGTGCATCACATTCCGGTGAGGGAACTAAGGGGTGTCATAGGAGGGAGGGACCGGGAGAGATTATTTAAGCTATTAGCGTGATGGTAGAGATAAGATGATAAGTCTGGCAAGCAAAATCAGTCAGATTGTCCTCTAATGCCATTCTATACACTCGCGCAACGCTACAGCTCCGCATAGGAGAATGATACAGGCGATACGCTTCCATACGTTGGCTGTATGATCTTTGAATCTTTTCCTTATAGTTCGTCCTCGACTTCTCAGTCAGTTTGTGCTCGACTTCACTCAAACACTCATACCGCTCAGCATCAACCAGCCCTGTCTGACCCTCCCACCACTTCCCTCCTATACCACAGAGAGGTGGCGTTCCCGGCGGGCACGCGGCCCAACTGTAGCCGCCTCAGCCAGCAGCCGGTGGTATGCGTGCAGGGCGAGCCGGATGGCTGTTACTCGGATGTGGGACGACAGCTACCCTCCCGCTCGGAGCCGCCTGGCTGCAGCCGCAGGTCAGAGCCGAACGCTTAGGGAGACATGTTGTGGAGGACGGAGGTTAGTTAGACGACAAGTGATGCGTTGATTTTGTCAGGCGAAAGGCTATGTGATGTGTGTGGTGCTTAGTTGGTATTTATCCTCGTTGCATAACCAGTGCTCATGTCTGCCCTCGTTCCGTGGACGATGCATGGTTAATTTCATTTTCAAAGGATTGTTCCAAGGACATGAGGAAATATACGAGTAAAAGAATGAATGAATCAATGAATGAATGAATGTATAAATAAATGAATTAATGAAGAAATAGCGTACTACCTTTGGTCCGTGAGTGAGATAGAATCGTGGAATGATTGCACTAGGAACGGCTGTGGTGCTATGATGTCTGACTTGCATTACATTATTATTTCGGATTATTTTCAGATGGTTATAACCCGACTAGCAAAGACTGGCCGTTGGTCATCTGTTTTCCATTCAGTAAACATCCATCCTTTCCTGCCAGGCCAATGCTATTATGCATGACAAAATAGCACTTCGACAGTCATGAATATTGACGATCTTCCGAAAATGCCTGATTTCCTGTCCTGACACCATCCATTCCAACCCCAAAGGTGTTGAACCTGGACCCGGAGATCTGTAAACAAACGACGGTGATCCACGAGATCGGGCACACCGTCGGCCTGGCTCACGAGATGTCGAGGCCAGCAGCGCGCCGACACCTCAAGGTGAACTTTCACCACATGCGTCTGTCACCGAACCTGTGGGCCCAGTCCCAGGTGTGCGACCTGGCCGCCTCGCGCGTGCCCTACGACTACCTCTCCATCATGCACTACAGCACGTTCGCCGGCAGCCGCGACGGCCAGCCCGTGTTCGTGACACGAGACCCACTGCGTCAGCACCTGGTGGATCACAATGATGACGTGCGCTTCATCGCCGGCCTCCCGGGACTATCCCATCTGGATCGGTATGTCATCAACACAGAGTATGGCTGCGAGCAACTGTGGGCGGCGGCACACTGCGGAGGGAGGATCACGCCCTGCCGGAACCTGGGCTACATGGGCGCCGACTGCCGCTGTGTGTGCCCACGCAGTCACCTGGGAGCATTCTGTCAGATCAGCACGCAGCCGCTGTGGCCGCGACCGGCCTGTGTGCGCACCGTGACAGAACCAGAGGAGTTCTCCCTCTCCAGCGCGGGTATGGGGTCAGACACGAGCGGCGGCCAGAGTCGTGCACTGTGCTGGTGCGCGGTGCCACTGGAACGCTCGCCCGTGTGGAGGTGCACGCAGCGACGTTCCTAGCAGTAGCACTCGCCAATCTCAGTGTCCCAAGGCTAGCGCGTGATGCCTGCGGTCTTGGACTTTCCGTGCTTGTTCTTCCAGGCACTGCAAGCGACGGGCGCAATGAATGTGTGGACACATTCGTGTCTACCCCAGAGAAGGGGATCCACGTGCCCCACCGCGCCGCTACGCTGCACGTGCGCGTACATCAGGTCACAACGCACCTAGAGCCGGTGCTGCGCCAGATTCGTATCCGCGTCTCGTTTGTCGCCGACGCGGCGGCGCAACTGCGTGTGGAGCCGGTGAACGGGGAAGGTAGGATGCTGGACGCGCTCACTCGATACCACGCCAGAGTGGCCGAGGTCGTGGAGAGAGTGGACCCGGAGGCGGCGGGAGGAGCCACCCGGACGGGAGAGAGGGGACTGGTGACGGGCGTGGTGCTGGTGTTGGTGGTGATTGCTGCGAATAGATAACACAAGCGGGTGGTTTGTCTAGGAAATATGAAATTGGGGTAGTCGCAGTGGGAAGAACGTAGCTAAGTTTGTATGTATATTGTGAAAATATATTTGATATCCGAGCGGGTCTCTTCCTCAAAATGAGTAAAAGATCATTAATAGATCACTTGAGTGTCCTTACAAAGCCACTCAATCGAGTTGACAAAAAGCGCAAAATCTTGGCTGAGAATACCGTTTATTACAAAGATGGTCGAACACATAGGCTTCCACACCCGACAGCTGCGAACAAAAATGGTGCGTTACAATTCTCACACAAGTGAAAAACAGTCGAATCAAGTGACACACGAGAGTTACACTTCGACAAGGTAGCCCACACCACATAGAACGGGGACCGTTACCACTGAGAAAATGGGTGGGAGATGAAACAAAATGACCAAAGGATGCAAACTTCGTTGCGATGAACCAGCATTGTTATACACAGCTCATTCAATGGTATTCAGACCTCCAATACCGAGTTTCAAATCCATCAAGATGTGTGAACATCAACACTCATAAGCAAGAAACAACAAGCTGAAGTTTGACCGACCACCGCAGATACCAAAATGCACCATTCTCTCAGCTCGAGCGCGTCCCTCTGAAAGCATTTCAAATAGTCTGGCAGTGATAGATGCTGAATTTTGAAATCAACGAAAACATCCTCAGACCACAAAAGTCGGCCACTTTTCTCCCCGCGCCGGTCTGTATTAATTCGCCTGCCAGACAGCTCCGAGCCGCTCCACAAAGCGTCCGAATAAAACATCGGCCGGCCCCTCATACATTTCGCCGCGTCGAACATAGCCGGGCCGACGACAGTTTCTGGAGACTGGCACATCACTTTGCCGCTCGATGGCGCCCTTTGTGTGACCGTCGGAAGTGAACGGTGACCGTCGAACGCCGTCCGGTACCGACAAAAGGAGCGGCGCGACAACACCCTTTGACACGAGACACTGGGGAATGTTGTACACGGGCACACAGGCCGCCGCCGGCCGACGCTGAATACAGATGAACAGGTAGGTGTCGGTCGTAAGAACAGCAAGTCCGGCTGGATGTCAACAGGGCGGAACGGACTTTGACTTGGATACGAGAAAAGAATATGATAGTGCTTGGTTATGGACCTTGTCGTGAGTGTTTCAACGTGAAATAAAACGGTATTCGTCCAGAACTCAACATAATCCAAGTGCTAATGTATTAGCTTCTGTTGACATCTAAACACTACCAAAGAGCCACCTACCGAGTTAAATTAAAAATACTGAACGCTCACTAGTCGCGGACCGATCCTGGCCTCGCGCGACATCTATGGTGTAGAACTGGAACTAAGGCCATACCGTCTCCCAGAGCACCGGTAGCGACACCTACGTCTCGGGGTCCGTGGCCTCGCCTCTCAGCGAGAGAGAGAGGCGCCCTCAGTCGGTAGGGAGGTGACAATCTTTGCCACATTTTTCACACACTGTTCTTGGTCGAAATCCTACCCTCACGCAAACGCCGATTGTCTGCACAGTGATGGTCTCTCGAAGTTGTTGAAACGCTAGAAGCTGCACATTTACACCTCTGCGCAGGCGTAGTCCCCACTGTCTCAGTATTTATAAGTAGATGGAGATGTCGCGGAACGGCGCTGTAGTGCACGGACAGACCGAACCTCTCAGTCTCGTCCCACTCAGCTGACGTTTAGAGACGAGACGCGTCCGGCCGCCTCAGCTGCCGGCGTTCTTCAGGTTCTGTTTGTCTGTTGTCGCTTCTCCTGGCAGTTGTGGCACACGAACACGCCGCCGAAGCCCAGGCTCTCGATTACACTCTGAAACAGCAGGCGGGTCAGGAGGTCGTAGATGACTGCGCCCGTACTGCTGGAGGTGACGATAGCGGTTCCCACGCGCCGCATGGGGAGGAGCAACGCACTGGGTGCGGTGTGATGTGGGAAAGCGGCGCCGCGCCGCCGTCTGACGGGGGGGCTGTTGAATGCAAAATACGGCACAGCCGGTCGGTCACCGACTTTCCAATTTGTCATGAAACGTGATAGAAATCGATTAAGGATTGCCGATGAAACCAAACTCGTTGCGTGGCGGTCTCTGCACTGGTGATAGCGATTTAAAACGGTGCTTGGGATGCCCGAGTCGCATATTTTACTTCTAGAAACCCACTCACAGACTTTATTGGATGACTATAATAAATAGCAGAAATCACTCGGACTGCTGCATCACTTAGCTCATAGCACGATCAGCAAAGCTCCACACTAGATAAGGCGTCACGAGGCTATTAGCATCCACGCATCTCTCGGGTGATCTATATATCCGCCTCACGCCCATCCGTGTTCATTGTCTGCCGCACGACTCTGGACCGGGCACGGCGATCGCCCCGTCCCACGCCGTCCTTTTGCGGCGCTCCATTGGCGAGAGCGCCGGCGCACCACGGGTGACCGCCCATGACACACAGCTCTGCCCCCGCTGTGACGGACGCGGAACAGCGGTCACAATATCCGTTAGTTTGTGATCAGATGAACCATCGGCCCACTGTCAGACTACTGTCGGACCAATGTCATCCACAGCGGCAGACTAAAGAGAGGCACAACGCTATCAAACCTAACCGGTCGACAGGTCACCGACCTTCGCTCGGGTCAGTGACACGTCAGGGGTCACTGACCCCTTCCTCCACTGACTACACAAGCTGTATTCACGATTACTATCCGGGCTACCGGTCCTACAAACCAGTGAAAAAAGAACGCTGGGGGTACGCATGGGACTGGTTCTACGGCCGTTAACGATATCTTGCCCCAATTGTGCATAAGAACTTATCGCACCGATCGATAAGACAACTAAACAAATGGGGAATGTGCCGACTCAGAGGTTACATCGGCGGTCACTACAGCATTTGCTCACAACACGATTGTCTTTATCGCCAATATGTAAAGCCAGGTACAAAGGGATCAGTGTTGTCAGACGTCACTCCTTATGTAACACATCCTCCGGTCCTAATGTACAGGTAGAAAGAGTCGACTGAATATCCAGCTATTAATGCTAATGAGCGAAAGATAGCAACTTCAAACATTAGGGGAGAGTGGGGTAAGATGCCCAGGGTGGGAAAGACGCCCCACCCCCTCTAGCGACGAAACAAAGAATCGGACCTGGAAATTAATGTTCTTAGCGTAAAGCGGAAGCCTGCCTGTTAACGGCACAAAAAATTGCGAAGCTCAGTTGGGCAACGGCTGGCTGATGACTGCATGTTTTTTATTTGCTGCTTTCAAAAAATATTTTGGTGTCAGAACATTGCAAATATCAAAGAAGGTAAATAATTTTTGCGTCCCTTGCTATAGTCGTGATACATTAGCATGCGTGTACTGTGTCCCAAACAGTTTGTTTCATGGTGTAGTTTTATGGCTAACAAATTGTACTGATTTAATGTTACTTCGGTACCTTGGGGTAAGATGCCCCCTGTCCTGATGGGGAAAGACGCCCCCCTAAATCCGTAGGCTGTCCTTCAAACAGCCCGTCAAATCATTTATTACATACTTGTGATGTAGACAAAAGCCGATCTGGGACTATTGAGAGTCCAGTACGGTCGGGTGCTCCCCATGCCGGTCTCTCGGCCCACATAGCGACTTTTTGGGCGGCATCTGACTCTGAGAGCCCTCACGACGGCCCCTGTGGGCTCCTTATTGGCTCCAGGGCCCATCACGACATCCTTTGAGGGCTCCCACGTTGGCCCCACGGGCCGCACTGGCATCGGAGGTCCCCACGATGGGCTCGAGGGCCCTCAAGCATCATGAAGACCTATAAGAGCCCCACAGTGAACACCTGAAAGCTGGATATTTCCTTGTCGTGACAAGGAAACAAACATTGAAATACTCATCAAATTGGTAGCAAAACACACAATAATGCGCCAAAAATAAGAACCGTCCCCCTAGTATCCCTTTGTTTACGTCCCTGCTCCGGGCAGAAGCCATGAAAGAAAAAAAGGCGGCTAAAAACTCTAGGCAATTTGAAAAATTCGAAAACAAATGGGGGAATGTTATAAAATTCTACAAAACATAGGCACCGATTGAAATGTGATGGCCGCCGCCGTCACCGCCGCCGTCGTCGCCATCCCGGTCGCTGCTGTCGGGGGGACCTGGGCTGCCCGCCCTCGCCGCCTCCGGAGAATGGCTGCCGCTGCCTGGCTGCTCGGCCTGCGCTGCCGTCGGCCGCGTTTCGGCTTCCTGCGTCGCCGCGGTGGCCGTGTTGGTGGCCGTTCCCTGGTGGAGCTGATCCGGCTGCTGTGCGCTGATGTGCGTTCTGACATTTGTAACCGGGACGGACGCCGGCACCGATACCCGAGTGGTGTCATACCTGTCAGCTGACGCGCCGCGCGTCCGTCTCGCGGTGGGTGGGTGGGGCCCCCACCGTGGGGGAGGGGGCTGTCGACGAGATGAGCTGAACTCCGCTCTTAATGCGATGTTGCAATGCGTCGTGCGTCAACTCCGTGCTCCGTGCCCGCGCCCCGTGAGAGCCGGGCTGTGGAGGCCGCCGGCGGGCGGGCCGCGCTTTGGGCGCTGCCGACGACGGGCCATATGTACGTAAATGTCTCCGCGGCCTCTGTATTCGGTTGGTGGTGGGTGACGACCGCTGGCATGCCGGAAGGGCTTGTGGTTCAGAATGGTGATAATGATCTAGTTGATATGCTATTTATGCAGTTTCATGTGCTCTTTACTGCATCTTTTGTGGGCGGATCGCGGAAGAGTGGAAGTGTGATGGATGACTGGACTGTGGCAGTAATGCTGTTTATTTGACAATAAATGCACTTAAAAAAAAAAAAAAGAGCCCCACAGTGGTCTCCGAACGCCACCACGGAGGCTTGTTTGGCCGCGCTGGACTATGATGGCCCTAACGATGACCTCTGAAGCCCCTTACGACTACTTTTGAGGGCCCTTATGATGACGTTTGGTGTCTACTGCAGGCTCGAAGGGACTACTGATTCGTTCAGGCGATTCACGTGCCCATTTATGTCACTTATAGTGCAGGGGGCATCTTTCCCAACGTCAGGGGGCGTCTTTCCCACCCTGTGGGGTAAGATGCCCCCTTTCACTTCTTCAGGAAAATGCTTAATAGCAAAAAAGTAATAATATTTCAGGCACGAAAGTGTGATATTTTTGGAGCAAAATGATGTCGGCTTCCGTTGAAACTCCAAGTTTTTGCTTTCCCATCGTCATTTTCGAATAATATATGACACAGTAAAACCCTGGGCATCTTTCCCCACTCTCCCCTACGCATAAAATATTTCTCATGTTCATTATTCTATGTTCATTTAAGCGGAAACCGATAATCAGCTTAACCGTGGACCAATGATGATAAACATAATTGAAAATATATTCCAATAAGTATTTCACTCCTTCACCGTCCATCCGGTCTACATAAAGGGGAAGTAGTTTACACCACACAGGAAGGTCGCCGTTCCGAACAGCGAGGCCGCCGTCCCGAGGGCTGCTCGTCTGCCGCCGGGGGCGACCGGGCGCGCCAGAGACCTTGGCGGAATGTGCGCGTCCCCGCACCTGGCCTGCGAAGGACGGTCTCGGCCCCTGGTCCAGGCACCCTCCTCCCAAGGTTACCAGACAGGGGTCACTGAGCCAGAACTGAGCCCGGAAAACACACAGAGATTCCCTCGGAGGAGGCTCCGGCCTGTCAATGACCGCCCGTGGGAGTAGGAGATCGATACCGCCCACCGGAGTCACGTTGTTATGTGTGAGAGTGATGTTTGGTGCTCTCTGTAAACAAATGTGCAGCGACACGTGAATAATCACCTGATGGGCGGGCCACAATTTCTCTTGTTATGAATGGTGATATAAGTGTAATGAACTTCACAGAAGTGATGCATCACACGGATGCTGCGCGATATTCACTATGCATACCCCACAAACTTCGTAACGCCCTTGATTGTCCGTGGGCGCTCCAACTCCTAATGTGCTGGTCAATTATGCATGCATTGCATTAGGGTTATCGAACTTCCCTGTGCAGATCGTCCTCCTGGCCATACGGCAGGGTCAAACACTGCCAGCGGGTGCCCAGCCAGAGCTCCCCTGCCAGATAGACGTACACGCTGCATACCACCGGGGTAAAATACGGTCCCGGAGTCCGCGGAGCAGCTGGCACAATGACGAGCAGAGGTCAGGCGCCATGTATCGGTGGTCGGCAGGGGTTAACGCTCGTTCTCTGCCGCCCTGTCCGGTCGAACACAGCCGTGGGACGGCCGGACTAGACACGGGGCGGCAGGGTGGAACCATCGCACGACGATCGGAGGCGCTCAGCGGTCACGTCTGCTCGGCGCGGGTCACCGCCCGGCCTGCCAAGGTCGTGAGGTCAACAGCGGCCGTCGGCGGCGTCATAACACTGGACTATTCGAGCCATATCTGTGACGGTGGCGTTAGGGAGCCCCGGCGGCGCAGGTCGCAGAGGCGGGGGCGGGCGGGCTGCCCCGGCTCTCGGAAGCGGCTCGGCAGATCCAAGGTGAGCCAGTATCATCTGTAGACTGAGGCGAGCCCAGAGGCGGGGTGGCGGCGGCAGGGGCCCGTACCGGCGCCTCCAGCCGGCGGGTCTGGCTGTATCAGCCCGGGGTGCATACCAGAGAGCCCTTACAGGGAGGCGACTACTTTGAAGAGCAGAGGCACAAGTTAGTGCCAATAACAAAGAATCAAGCGAAGAAGGCAGCAAGAAAGACAGAAACAAGTTCACCTTTATCGCTAATATTCCGTGATAAAAGAACACTGACTACAAAATTTAGCCGTATGGGATATGCGAGACGAATTGCAAGATGCGAAGGTCAATGTGTTCG